TTTCTGTCAGGGCTGGGACCTGGTGTTCTTGGTCCTCCATGTCGGGGCCTGTGACAATGACCTGGCTGTGGACATTACCAAGTGGATAGTGAGGCAAGTGAGGGAGTGAGGAGACCACCCAAGAGGGATGGGGGCAACAGTATGAGAGGCCTGGCCTTTCCTACCATGAGGTCAGTGTTCTTGGCACCCCACAGTTCAGAGGAGGAGGCTGAGGCTGAGAGCCACAGGGCCAGTTCCTGGACTCAGAGCTATACAGGACCCTGTCACCCTGGGTGGGCTTACCTTCCCAACACTGCGCCTGTCTCCTGTTGGGTGGAGAAACTGGAGATGGTAGACCCGGAAGAGAGGCTGTCAGAGACTAAGGCTGTCTCCAGAGTCTCCACCAGGCTCCTCAGGGAGGGAGCCTGGAATACACATAATGTGCAAGGGTCATCCACCTCTGAAACCACCTGTGCCTCAGGGATATCGACAAAATAGACACCTGAGGCTTTTGTGGTGGTAAACATGCCGGCACCTGGGCCTCAGGCCCTGCTTGGTGTCCCAAAATGGGTGCAGCCACGTGGTACCAAACCTGGAGTCTACCCCGCAGCAGGCAGCTCGCCAGCAGCGGCAGCAGCGCAGGCGGCTATGGCTCCGGCGGTGGCGCCGCTGTAGGGACCGCGTCACCAGGCGATCTCCTGGTCACGTGGTCTGAGGCAGAGGTATCTACTGTGGCTGCAGCAAGTGGTTGCAGCTGCCAGAGAAAAAACCTCCAGGAACCCGTGGGAGGGCAAATGCGACATCACAGGGAACAGCAGGCAGGAGGACACTGATTGGAAGGCGGTCTCTGCTTGTCAGCCCCAGTTACCGCGGAGGTACTCGGAGGGAGGTAGCTGCCGAAGGGAGACCTCTGGGCACCCGCAGCGGTCCACCTATGAAGGCCTGCTTGTCATCAGCAAATTCACCGGAATGCACCTATATGCCCTCTGTGCAAAGCCAAGAGTCGTCCCGAAACCCCAAAAAGCCTAAGCGGAAGCAGGGTAAATGAAGAAAGGGAAAACATGTGAAGCTGTGCTGATCATAACCCCTCCCTTTGGCCTGAGTGATTGATGTCCTGATGTGAAAACACCTTTCCCCACCCTCACTGTCTCCTATTTAATGTGACAGAAGTACAACCCCTCACTCACTTATTTCTTACTGCTCTTGGCATTACTGGTTTAGGAAGAGATGTGGTTCAGGTGCTAATGGCTGTGTCTCGTGATCCCTTCTCCTCCACCCACATTTACACCGCTGCCCTTGTTTGGAGCTAAGGCTAGGGCAAGGAGCCCAGATGTAATTCTCTGTCTCATGTGCCTGAGGCCTGGCACCTGAGGAGATGTAGGTTCTGAGGGCTGGCGTAGGCCTGTATTTTGTTTCAGGAAAATGCACCAGTTTTTCTCCTCCCTGTTCTTTTTTTGCCTTAGGCTTTGAAGGGACAACAGTCTTCTTGCTGGACTTCCTAACAGGCTATACCACATAAAAATAAAATAAAGATATTGTGTCCACCAAAAAAAATTAAAGGCATCAAAACTAAAAAGCACAATTCCCATTTAAATCATTAGAGAATGACCATTTGGTAAAATTCTATTTCCCTTTATAATGAAAAACCCTCAAAAATTAGAAATAAGAGAAATGTGTCTCAACCAAATAAAGGCAATGGATGACAGACCCAAAACAACATCACACTGAAAGGTGAAGAGGTGAAATCATTTCCTGTAAGATCAGGAACAAGGGCTGGGGTTGTGGCTCAGTGGTAGAGTGCTTGCCTAGCATGTGCAAGGCCCTGGGTTCCATCCTCAGCACCACATAAAGATAAATAAATAAAATAAAGATATTGTGTCTAACTACAACTAAAAAGTAAATATTTTTAAAAAAAAGATCAGGAACAAGACAAAACTCTTGTTCAATACACTATTAGAAGTACTGGCCATACATTTGCAGGTAAGTGGATGAAGCTGGAGAATTTCATGTTAAGTGACAAGCCAGTCCCCCAAAACCAAAGGGTAAATGTTTTCTCTGATATGTGGATGCTGATCCATAATGGTAGGGGGTGGGTATGGGAAGAACTGAGGAACTTTGGATTGGGCAGAGGACAGTAAGGGGATGAGAAGGGGCATGGGGTAGGAAAGATAGTGGAATGAGATGGATATCATTATCCTAGGTACATGTACAACTGCACGAATGGTGTACTGCTCAAATAGTGAGATTCTACTTCATGGACAACCAGAGAAATGCAATGCTGTGCTTCATTTGTGTATAATGAATCAAAACGCATTCTGCTGTCATGTATACCTAGTTAGAAGGAGGTCTAATTACCCCTGTCTGCAGATGACATGATTTCATATACATAAGCCCCTCTCATTACAAACATCTAAGCTGCAGGAAGCCCCTGATTTCCATGTCCCCTGGCTTCTTGAGGCTCCCATCAAGCTGACTGCACATGGAGGTAAAGGGAGCAGGCTCTCAAAAGAAGGAAAGTGATGAAACCTGTGTTGCTAAATCCTCACAATTCAACTACAAAATAGAGAGCTCAGAAGATGTGTGGCTCTTTGAACATGATGACAAGGAGATACTGTTGCAAGGTGCAAAGCTTTTATGAATATGAAGAATGGGCTTATGCTAAAATCAAACACTCAGGTCAACTCTAAAACTGCAGAGCTTTCGGGATCAAGTCCATGTTCCAAGACCTTTACTTACTAAAATTTTCTTATTTTAAAATTTATTTTGTAAACTGTGGAAAAAACACATACATTCAGGATCAATTCTACTGACGTGACAAAATATTGTCCCAATTTCTAGTATGTTTCAAATTGCTCCATCAATCAACTTTTCCTTAGTAATAACAATAGCGATACTATCCTTATATTAGGAGGATGAGGACGAGTAAACCAGACCCAACTACAAAAACATCCTAGCACGCTCATCACTCACTCACATAGGCTGAATAATAGCAATCATCACATTCAACCCCACACTAAATATGTTTAATCTAATTACTTATATTATGCTTATAAGCAACATATTCATGTTATTCATTACAATTAAAAAACACCACCCTCTCACTCTCCAATATATGAAATAAATTTCCTCTACTAATTTCAATAATTTTTATTGTACTTATATCCCTAGGTGGACTTCCTCTATTAGCTGGGTTCACCCCAAAATGAGTTATTATTAAGGAACTCGTATCAAATAATAACTTTATTATACCCATAAAGAGCAGTAACAGCTCTGCTAAACCTATAGTTCTACATATAATTTATCTACTCAACATTCCTAATATTATTTCCACCCTCCAATAATATTAAAATAAAATGACAATTCGAAAGTACAAAAACAACCCCCTTTATACCCATCCTATAATTCTATCTACCCTCTCCCCCACCTTACATCCCTATTATCAATCTTAAGCTAGCAATTTAGGTTAAACTTAGAACAAGAGCCTTCAAAGCTCTAAGTATATTTAATTCCTGCCCTAAGAACTGCAAGACTTTATCTTATATCAACTGAGTGCAAATCAATTACTTTTATTAAGCTAAGCCCTTCATTAACCCATTTCTCTAAACTAATGGGATTTTAACCCATAAAAATTTACTTAATAGCTAAATGCCTAACTCAACTGGCTTCAGAAAAAAAGGTGGGAGAAGCCCCAGCAGAGTTGAAGCTGCTTCTCTGAATTTGCAATTCAATATGATAATTCATCTCAGGACTTGGTAAAAAGAGGGCTCAACTTCTGACTTAGATTTTTTTTTCCTCTTCATCGGTCTTTATTCAGCAGTACATATGCACCAAATTCCATTTTAGAAGTTTCCATATCATTTTCTTAGAAAACAAAATCTGAAAACAAGTAACATTTAAACACAGCAAGGTATTCTATCACACTGAAACTTTTTTCTTCTTCTTCTTTACAGGACTCAACAAAATCTAAAGATGAACTATGCTGTAGATTTACCTCATACAAAGGTCTTTATGTTATCTCTGAAAATGAAAAGAATGGCCTTTTAAGCACATTGTTTTATATTATTATGGTAACTTGTGTACTGCAACAGTCTATTTTGAGGGAAATTTATGATTTTTTTACATGCAAAAATCTATCTACACAAATTTAGTTTTGATGATATGGATAGCTTTTCCTAGCATCAAACAATTCATCTGGTGCAAATGCACAGGGAAACCTTCCTGAAAAGTTTTCTGACTTGAGAAGCAACTAAAAGAGCCATACTGGGTAAAGTAAATAAAAATGTGTGGGCGGGATGACAAAACAAAAAAATGGGGGTGGGGGTTTTGGGGGAGAGGGGAAATAGAAAACACAGGCTGCAGAATAAACCAACGTCTGCTGCTAAACCAGTCTTTGTTTTCATGTCCAGTGTACATTAACACTTACGATCTCACTTTGATGATTTACTATGTTTGTTATCAGCCCCCTGAAGGCAAATCAAGCTCGCATGCATTCACATACAGCAGCACAACCACACTCTCATACACAGTCACTCCAGGACTAGGAATCTGCTTCATGAGTGAAGAGCCCTAGATTTGAAAGATGAACCTGGCTCTCTATCACCAAGCCAGACATTCATTGTCCATTCACACATTGCTTTATAGCAAAGCCTGGGCTCATTTTCCTTGACTTATATGGGCACTCTATTCTCTTTTATGCTTACAAGGCTTGAAGATGACAGTATTTCACTTTCCCCTCAATTGATACAGAGTAAGTCAATGTTCCTTCTCAAGCACTGAAGATCTGTGACCTGTAGCCCTTTTTACTTTGAACAACCTAAATAAGCATCCATGTAAAGTTTTCATTACGTTTTGCCACTATTCTCACTTGCACCCACTCACCATCTTGACCTCATTTGAGCATTTCCTGTGATTCCAAAATGAAATCTTCATATTTTCTTTCCCGATTTAATGCAGAAGCAGATCCCATGAGCCAAGCTTAATGGATCAAATATATATATATATATATATATATATATCTGAGTGCTGCATTGTACCTAACTTCCACAATATCTTTCTAAAACTGGAACCCTTCTGTTGGTACATTGGCTAATGAATTGAAACCAAATGTTCCACCTTGAATTGCCTCTGGAACAAGGCTAGGATCTTCATCAATATCATCTGAAGAGAAGAATTGATCAATGATCTCATAGGCCAATTTGTAGGTGTCTTCATTTTCATGATTTTGAAGTTTTTCAATTTTCTCCAGTCCTCCACATTCTTCTTTAAGATTGGCTATGGTTTCTGCCTCATCTTCAGCCATTTTTAATATATTACTTAATCCATCGAGTACTACTTGCACAACCTGTGCATATTTTCCAGTCAGTAAGTTGCAAAAAGGTGGGATAACATTTTGTTGAATAAGGTAGGCCACTTGATCTTACCTTCCACTAATTGTTAAGTTACTTATGGCCCAAGCAGCTTCTTTCTGAGTGCCAAAATCCCCCTTATCCAAAAGGTATATTATCATTGGTACAAGATTGGCATCAATCACTGCCTGAACCTGCTGTTGATTTCCTGCAGTGATGTTAGAGAGGAACCACACTGCTTATTTATGAATTTTCTCTCTGGGATGTGTCAGGAGTGCTGGGAAGTGTGAGAGGGCATCACAGTTCAAAACTATTTGTGTTTGTTCATCAGTTCCAGTAACAATGTTGCCCACTGCTCTAAGTGCAGCTGTCTGAACTTTAACTTCCTGGTGGCTGAGTAGAGGAACCAAGTGAGGAACTATTCCAGACTCTATTACCATCTGTATCTGTTCATTTCCAGTATCAGTAAGGTAAGAGAGGGCCCAGACTGTATCTATCAATATATTTACATCTGTGTGATGTATTAAAACACAAAGGGCTGGAAGAATCTCCTGAATGGTTTCCATTGGTGGTGGTGGGTATTTGTGATGACTTAAGTTGACCATAACCCAAGTAACATTTCTTAAGAATATTATAGGAATAGATGGACTTATGATTGAAAGTAAAGGTTTCACAACTCCAAGACTTATGACATAATCTCTACACTGTGGACCGTCACCTATGATATTTTCCAATGCCCACACTGCCTGCTCACAGACATTCTGATGAGGTGAATGAAGAAGCCTCAGAAAATGTGGCACAGCACTGGACTGAACCACTGCTTGAGTTTGTTCAGAGGTTCCAGATGCAATATTTGTCAAAGCCCATGCAGCTTCAAACTGTAAAGAAGGATTGTCATCTCTTTCAAGACAATGGACTAAAATAGGCAATATTCCAGATTTTATTAAGTCATCAATTGGTGGATTTCTATCACTGGACAAAAACTTCCTAGCAGCTTGTACTGCACTTAATTGAATTCCTTGGTTATCACTTGAAGCATTCTGAACGATAGCTTCTAGAGAGGTATTCTGTACTCTACAATCACCATCTAAATCAGAGTCTTCACAGATATCTTCATGTGGTACATTTCTTCTCCTTAAGAAATGTTCATCTCTTTTATTCTTCCTTAATTCATCAACAACTTCATTTCGCTGTCTTCTCATAGTCTCCAAGTCATGGCCTTTGTTCTTAAAATTCTTGAGCCCTTGGTTGTCTAATTTCTGTTTGTCCACCTTGGTCGGCCCTGACTCATTCCGCCTCAATGACACTCCCAGGAACCAGGCCTCCTCCTAAGCTGCTATGCCCTCCTGGCTGCCGCTTCCTTCCTCCTCTCATTTGCCCCCCCCCCCAACCCTAGAACTTCAGCAGCTCCAGTGAAGACAACTGCAGGGCCGGGCAGCGGCAACAGCAGCGGAATGTGCAGCCATTTTACCTCATACCTATGTTCATAAACCTTACATCGGAACACTTAACCTCCTATTTGACACCTGAGCTGGTATAAGGAGGAACAGCACTTAGTCTATTGATTCAAGCTGAACTAGGTCAACCCTAGGGGATGATCAAATTTATAATATAACTGTAATTGCACATGTGTTCATAATAATTTTCTTTGTACTTATCTCTGTTATGATTGGTAGGTTCAGAAACTGACTAGTTCCCCTTATGATTGTAGCCCTGATATAACATTTCCTCGAATAAATAACATAAGCTTCTGACTCCTACCTCCATCATTTCTTCTCCTTCTCACCTCCTCCATAGTTGAAGCAGGCCCAGGAACTGATTGAGCAGTATATCCCCCACTAGCTGGGAAGCTTGCACACGCAGAAGCCTCTGCAGATCTCATTATTTTCTCACTCCACTGGGCAGGTGTTTCATCCATCCTAGGGGCAATTAATTTTATTACTACCATTATGAACATGAAACCCCCTGCCATATCACAATTCCAGACTCCATTATTTGTATGAGCAGTAATAATTACAGCCGTGCTACTCCTCCCATCCCTCCGAGTTCCTGCAGCAGGAATGTCCATACTCCTCATAGATCCAAACCTAAATACGACGTTTTTCAACCCTGCCAGAGGGGGAACCTATGCTTTATCAACACCTATTTTGATTCTTTGGACATCTGGAAGTATACATTCTAATTCTATTCTTTTGGATATATGGGAATAGTTTGAGCTATAAAATCCATTCACTTTTTAGGATTCATCATATGAGCACACCATGTATTTACCATAGGAATGGGTGTGGACACCGGAGCACACTTCATGTCAGCAACCATAATTATGGCTATTCCAACCAGAGTTTTCAGCTGACTGGCAACTTTTCACAGTGGCAATATTAAAGGGCCCTGGGTTTTGTTTGCCTATTTACTGTAGGAGGCCACACAGGAATTGTTCTAGCTGACTCAGCACTAGATATTGCATTACATGCTACATATTATGTAGTAGCTCATTTTCACTAAGTCCTATCCATGGGGGCTGTGTTTGCAATAATGGGATGATGTGTTCATTGATTCCCTCTGTTCTCTGGTTATACCCTAGATGCTACATGAGCTAAATTTCACTTCACTGTTATATTGTAGGAGTGAATTTAACTTTCTTCCCACAACATTTCCTAGGATGATCAGGCATACCATGATGATACTCTGACTACACAGACACACATACAACACGAAATACTGTATCCTTGATAAGCTCATTTCTCTCTCTTACAGCTGTAATAATTATAATTGTTATAATGTGAGAGGCATTCACATCAAAACGAGAAGTCCTAACTGTAGACTGACAACAACTAACTGGGAGTGACTACATGGATCCCTCACCTTACCATACATCATCTCACTCCAGTCAGAATGGCAGCTATTATGAGGAAAAGCAACAACAAGTGTTGGAAAGGATGTGGGGAAAAGGCGCACTCATACATTGCTTGTGGGACTGCAAATTGGTGCAGCCAATTTGGAAAGCAGTATGGAGATTCCTTGGAAAGCTGGGAATGAAACCACCATTTGACCCAGCTATTCCTCTTCCCAGATTATACCCAAAGGACTTAAAAACAGCATACTACAGAGACACAGCCACATCAATATTTATAGCAGCACAATTCACAATAGCTAAACTATGGAGCCAACCTAGATGTCCCTCGGTGGATGAATGGATAAAAAAAAATGTGGCATTTATACACAGTGGAATATTATGCAGCACTAAAACAGAACAAAATCATGGCATTTGCAGGTAAAAGGAGAAGATAATGCTATGGGATGTTAGCCAATCCCCAAAAAACAAATGCCGAATGTTTTCTCTGATATAAGAGAGGTGGCTCATAGTGGGATAGGGAGGGAGAGCATGGGAAGATTAGATTAATTCTAGAAAGGGAAGAGGGATGGGAGGGTAAGGGTGGAGGAGGGGGACTAATAAGGATGGTGGAATGTGATGGTCATTCTTATACAAAATACATGATGAAGATTTGACTTTGGGGCCAACATACCTTATATACAAACAGAGATATGAAAAATTGCAGTATATATGTGTATTAAGAATTATAATGCAAAAAAAGAATATATGTATAATGGCATAAGTTGGCATGAACATACTGTTTGTACAGAGATACGAAAAATAGTGCTCTATATGTGTAATAAGGATTGTCATGAAAAAAATAAATAAAATTTTTTAAAAAGGAAGAAGAATCAACCTATGTTAAAACATAATTCAAGAAAAGGAAGAATCCAATCTCCTATGACTAAGTTTCAAGCCAGCCCACAACCATTATGGCTTTCTTTTATAAGATATTAATAAAAATATTACATAACTTTGTCAACGTTAATGTATAGATCAGAATCCTTTATATCCTCATGGCATACCCATTTGAACTAGGATTTCAAGATGCTACATCACCTATTATAGAAGAACTATTAAACTCTCATGACCACACACTTATAACCGTATTCTTGATGAGCTCCTTAGTTCTTTATATTATCTCACCTCTACTTACCACAAAACTCACTCACACAGGCACCATGGGTACTCAAGAAGTGGGGACCATCGGAACTATTCTACCCACTATTATCCTCATCCTAATTGCACTTCCCTTGCATAAGCTCTCTCGTACAGCGAGGGGGTCCACGGAACAGGGCAGAGGAGAGTGTGGCTCCAGAGTCCCTAATCAAGAACTCCGGAGACCAAGCAGGAAGCAGGTCTGATTTTATTGTGCAGTTACCATGTATATATACTCAGGCAGCAGCTAAGCAGGTTACAGGCAGCCACCAATGCAATTTCTGCTAACTGTCCTTGAGGCGAGGAGCGGGTCATGGACCAAGCCCAGGGACTGCAACACATGGCCTCATGCCCAGGGCTGTGCCTATGGGGTTAGCCACCTGCCACTCACACGCCTAGCACGAGAGGAGTGACCTGCCACTCAGACGCCCTTAACATATGCCATGTATGCAGTACTCCATGCACTTGCCCCATATTCCCTTATTGCAAATGTTTTATATAATAGATGAAATTAATGACCCTTAATTAACAAAAAACAACAGGCCACCAATGATATTGAAGCTATGAATATACAGATTATGAAGACTTAAATTTTGACTCCTATATGGTTCCCACCCCTGACTTAAAACCTGGAGAATTGAGTAGTTTTACCTATAGAATTACCAGTTCACATGTTAATTTCACCAAGATGTTCTTCACTCTTGAGAAGTCCCATCCCTCAGACTAAAAGCAGATACGATTCCAGGTGGACTTACCCAAGCTTCCTAACATCAACATGACCATGTTTACATTACAGACAAGGCTCAGAGGTCTGTGGGGCTCAGAGGTCTGTGGGTCTTATGTCAGCTTCATGCCAATTGTCCTTGAATTAGTTCCACTGAATCACATTGAAAACTGATCTTCATCGATATTATAAATTCATCACAAAGATAACTACAGCATTAACCTTTTTAAGTTAAAAATTAGAAGCTTAAATCTCCTCATAATGAAATGACCCAACTAGATACATCAACATGATTTATTACCATTTTTCAATAATTTTCACCCTATTTATCTTATCTCAACCTAAAATATCAGACCATTCACACCACTCTAACCCCTCACCAAAAGATATGAAACTCATTGCACATAAGACCTCTTGAGGGAAAAAAAAGGAATGAAATTTGCCTACTTCATTACCCCTACAATAACAGGATTACCTACTGTTATCCTCATTATCTCACTCCCCTCTATTCTAATGATCCACCTATTCGACTTATCAATAATTGACTAGTCTCACTAAAACAATGATTAATTCAGCTCATACTAAAACAAATTACGATAATACATAATCCAAAGGGACGTACTCATTAATTATGTTTATTGGACTTACTGGGACTATTACCTCACTCTCTTACACCTACCACCAAACTCTCAATACATCTAGGAATAGCAGTTCCCCTATGAGCCTCTGCACACATTAGGGATGGGAGATTAGATTGGATCCTATGCTGGCTTGGGACCTGCTTTGTAAACTGCTCTACTCCAGGTCCTGTTAAGAGGCCTCTGCGGTAGGCGCTGGTCCCTGCCAACCCAGTCTAGAAGGATGGAGACAGCAAGTGAGGGGTTGACTGGTAGCGCAAGGCTCATACCCCAGCCTCTCCCAGGGCTCCGGCCCACCAAGCCTTGGTGCTCCCTGCCCCATGCACCTGCTCTTGGTAAGGCCACAGCCCACCAATCCATGTGGCTACTCGTGGCTGACTCACCAAAAAGATGCCTGGTTAGATTTTGTAAGTTGTTATTGGGGTTGTTTGGTTTGTTTGTTTGTTTTGTGTGTGTGTGTGTGTGTGTTGCTAGGAATCAAACCCAGGGCCTTGTGCATGTGAGGCAAGCACTCTACCAACTGAGCTATATCCCCAGCCCCATCCATTAAGAAGGGTGAAATATCATTTACAGGAAAGTGAATGGAACTGTGTGGGAGGCCACCCTGAATGATTCGTGTTCTGGATCCTGGAGCAGAGAGACTTTGACCATCACTTACATCTAAATAGGGACCTGGACACTGCACCGGTCATGGAAGTTGAGGACACATCTTCGCCCTGCAACCCCTTGAGTCAAATTACACCCACCTGTCCTTTGTAACCTTCCTGACCTTTTTTGGATGGAACTTTCTAAGAATGAGGGTCATCAAAATAAATGCCCAATTCAGAACGTGCTCTCTATCTCGCCAGCCTCTCTTGACATTTCCTCGCACTACCACTTGGGGAGCTTGAGGCCAAGAGCTGAGGAGCCACCCTGAAGCTTGTTTAAAGGTAAAGTGTGTATCTGTGTTTCATTTGGAAATTCACACAAGGGACCTTAAGTTCAGCTGCCCCTGCGGATCAGGGGCAGCAGAACTGCACATCATCACGTCAAAGGAAGTCATACTCAGAAAGACAAGGGTTGATGTTCTCTCATGTGGGCTCTGGGCATGGGGGAAGACAACAGGGGGACCTTCAGGGAAGGGGAAGAGGACCACGGTTACAGTGAAGGGTTTACAGAAGATAATAGGGAAGGAGGATGTGATCAAAGCATGTTATATGCATATATGGAAATCTCATAGTGAATCTCATTATTTGACATAATTAGTATGCACTAATGATTATAATTATTGTAAATACAACATTTGGAAACTGTTTCTAATAATTGAATACCTGTTTTAATGATTCTTTCACAAAATATTATCTATAAGACTTCCTTAGTGACTATTCCTAGATTATTCAAAACTTATGATCATTCATGAGATTTTGTTTTTCAAATCATGTAACCAGCTGAGAGAATAATTCTTAGATCATGGTAATAATGATTATAG